TTGAATGTACAGAAACTGAATGGGCTGAATGTGGGCAGGGTTTTGCACTCCAATAAAACCTGTGGCGAAATCATCGACCACATAGCTCATGAGCTGAAGAAAAAAATGGCAAAAGACATTACAGAAAACCAAAGAAAACTCTGTGTTTTGGTCGATGAATCTACCACTATTAGTGGTAAAACGGTGCTTGTTGTGTGTCTACGCTCAGCATTAGCTGATGCTGAGCCCGAAACGTTTTTTTGGGAGCTGATCGAGTTGGATGGAACAACGGCTGATGACATCACAAAGGCGTTAATGGAGTGTCTTGGAAGAGATTTTAACGAGGACTTTTTAGGTCAGTGTTTCGTTTCTTTTGCATGTGATGGGGCTTCAGTCATGCTAGGGAAGAGAACAGGCGTTGCTACCCAGTTGTGTAGTAAATTCCCAAGCCTGTTTGTGTGGCACTGCTCCAATCATCGTCTAGAGCTGGCAGTTGGGGATCTGGTCAAGGAGGTCTCAGGGCTCAATCATTTCCAGATCTTTTTTGACAAACTCTATTCCTTGTTCCATGCCTCCCCTAAAAATCAGAGGCAGTGTGCGCAAGCAGTCGGACAGCGTCTCCTGGTGATAGGGCGTGTTTTTTCCATCCGCTGGGTGGCTTCAAGTGAAAGGAGCGTCAGAGCAGTCTGGGAAAACTTCCGAGTGCTTCATGATCACTTCACAAATGCTGCAAACGACACGAGCAGGGATTCCAGAGACAGAGCAAAGTACAAGGGCCTGGATGATGTGCTCACATCTGCAACGTTTGTCAGCAATCTGGGACTGATGTACGATGCGCTCACAGAGCTCAGCGACCTCTCTCGGCAACTCCAAAAAAGAGAGATGACACTGCCTACAGCAGATAGGCTCTTAACTCGAGAAATACGAGTTTTTGAATCCATGGTCACCATGCCTGGCCCACACATGACTACAGTTCATACAGCTCTAGCTGAGAAGTCCTTCAAGGGTGTTGCCCTGCGTGAGAATGGCAGGCTTGTACAGATTCATGCAGGTCAGTTTTTCCGCAGTATGGTAGAGAATCTGAGACACAGAATGACTTCCACAACCTCCTCTCATGTCAGCACAAGAGAAATCCCATTACATGGCCGGGAGGCCCGGGACAATCAGCTAATCCAGGACATGAAAGTTATCCATCCTGGAAGTTGGCCTGAAGAGGAGTTAGACGTACAGTATGGGGACGTAGAGGTGCTACGTTTGTGCGAAGTGCTGAAAGTGGACAGAAGAGAGACTGTTCAGGGCTTTCGCGAATACAAGGAAACCAGGGCATCCCGTACACCTGCTGCCATGGAGCCTCTACTGAAAGCAGTCCGAACCATCGCTGTCTCCACTAGTGAGTGTGAGCGGGCATTCAGCTGCATGAACGATATCCTTACTGCAAAAAGGAATGCTCTCTCTGTCAGCCGACTGTCCAGCCTGGTTTTCATTAAATGTAATGGACCATCACTAGGACAGTTCAATCCGGAACAGTATGTGAGGTCCTGGCTGGCAAAGGGAAGGAGAAGTGCTGATGAAAGAGCCTGTCCAGCTCCAGCCCCTGATACTGATGTCCCCAAGGCCTTCTGGAGCCTTTTCTAACAATGTGAAGTATATTGCAAAGCAGCTCACCCAGTGAGAAGACTTTTGGCATAATGTGCCGATTTGTACAGATCCTGGAGATAGAAGGACTTCAGACCAACCAGGGAGTTATCTGATCAGCTTGGTGTTCAATGTAACTCTTTACCATGGCTCCATGACTTTGTTACTTGCAGTTACAGTTTCTCATTTTAGATTGTGCAAATTTTGCATTTGTTTTTACATGTTCTTTGTTCATGCTCTTTATCATTTTTCTGAGTTGGAAAGTTAGATTGCATCATAGTTTACTTTATACATATTTGTATTCTTCAGTGGTGAAGTATATTGCAAAGCAGCTCAGCCATGTGAGAAGACTTTTGGCACTTTTTCGTTTTTCGTTTTCTGAGTTGGAAAGTTAGATTGCATTCAAAATGTACAGAAATACTTAATTTTGTTAAAGCTTTTTATAAAAAATGCTTCTGACCAGAGCTTTGTTTCCTTGTCATTAATGTTGAACACCACCAGAGGGGCTCTCACCTGAAAGGTCTCTGCTTCATGTGTCTTCAGCAGAAGATCTAGACTTTGATTGCTATATTTTCAGTTAATATTGACCTTACTGAGCTTTAGCCATATCCGCTGCCTATCATAACAAATGTTAAGTACAGTGAACCTTTCTAAAATATACAGTAGTAAAGAGACAAACTCACCAGCATTATAGTAGCCAAATTCTTGTTTGTGGGCTGTATATATAAAATTGACTTGAAAAAGTTGCTGATTTTAGAGTACTGGCACCTTTTTCATTCCAATTCAAGCACTGATGGTAACTTATGCTAAGCGGCTAACCTCGTCGGGACCAGGTTAGGTTGCAGGCTAAGAGCTCAACTCAGTGAAAGCACTGCCTGCTGACCAATCAGAGCTCAGTGTGCGGAGTTTAAAGCGATCAAGTCATATTACAGGAGAAAGGAAATACAGAAAAGCTGCCGTCGCAGGAAAGACGGCTGGCAAAAATCACCGACTGTGTGAACGTGAACATTAATAGAATATCACCTCCCATCTTCAGAGCAATCTGACTATTATAACATTAGCATTAAGAAAGCTTACTTAAATATCTGCCACAACATAGGCCTAAGTAACCGGATCAGAGTAACATCAAGTACAGTCCGCGGCATATCACTTCATAATGTATCATATTTTCTTATCTGAGTCAGCTGAGCCCTATCTGGCCGTGCGACACTCACAGTGTCACATACTGTATGCAGAAGTATTATTTTAAGCAACACATTAAGTTGACGAAACACTCGAGACAAATGTAATTAAAGTCAAATCGTGTTTTAGACGGGGCAGTGATATCATAAACCTGTTAATGTACGCATTCAAACACTTTTTCTTTTGCCAGCTGTATTCACCTTGCAGGTGCAGACTATGTGGCTTTTATCCTAAGTCATGGATGTTTAAAGTTTAACTTCTTCATTTTTGACTAGTATTAAAGTTCACTTTTCATTCAGGAAGTATGACGCTGCGCTGTCTTTCATGTGAACGCGCACCTAACTAGATAGGAAACGGCTGGCTTGAGCGATCCACTTGATAACCCGCGTCGTAGTACAGTTTAGCGAGAGCGCGTATGTTTTGGATTAGGCCAACCGGCTAACTCAAACATATCCAGGTTAGGTTAAACCAGCTTCGTAGTATAGGCCCCAGGCCAGAAGCTGTTATCCACTGCTGTAAACACCACGTCAAACCTCAACAAACACCTGCAAAGAACACATGCTAAGGTGAAGCTACCGCACAGCTATTTGTTGTTTGTTTATATCACGTCGTCTATTCTTCTTCTCTGTTTTCCGGTTGTTGCCTGTTTTGAATGACAAATACACACTACCGCCGCCTGCTGGTAAGGAAAGTTATTGCCACTCAGGCATGTGCAAGTTCATACGTGCTCGGCGAGTAAAGTAACGAGTTACTTTATGTAGATACTAACGAAGTAGTGTCATATATTACTTTTTAAAAAAAGTAATATGTAATATATTTTTGAAAAATTAGTAACGACCCCATCTCTGGAGTTGGCGTTCTCTACTCTGATTTACATGAAGAACAACAGGAGGTCACGGGACTCACGGCTCTCTGTTGAACAGGACTTGCGAGTGGCCCTCTCCTCAGTGCCACCAAGGATACAAAAAATCTGCGCGCCCCGACAGGCACATGTATCTCACTAATTTGTAAGTCGGCAAAAATATTTACAATAACACATGTTTCAATGCTGATTGCTGAAATGTTAATTTTGTGACCTGTCTGGTTTAAATGAGTGTGTTGCTGCTTTGATGAAGCCTAATTTGATAAAGTTTCAAATTAATTTCTGAAATATTTCGTTAATAAATATTTCATGAGTAATATAGTTGTCTTTGTCACATTTTATTTGGCATTAGTAAATAATTATGCACATTTACAGATATTTTACATGATATGAGTGATAACATGTGTTATAAGGGCTGTTTTGCACAATAGGTGTGCCTTGAATTTTTACTTGTCCTTTGTTTGTTTGGGAACCACTGATCTAGTGTATTCATAGCCCTCACTGTTTATTCATTATTCAATTCATTCTATATTTTATTCTGTAGATTGTGTACATTACTTTTCACTTTACTGCTTGTTGCACCTGGTTAGAAGCTAAACTGCATTTCGTTGTCCCAGTACCTGTAATATGTGCAATAACAATAAAGTTTAATCTAATCTTGAGCAGGAACAAATGTATTTACTTAGTACATATCTGACATTAACGATTAAACACGTGTGCATTCTTTATAAATGCAAACCGAGTCAAGCCGACTTCGGAGGTGGCGGTATGCACCTTAAAGTTGTTTGCAATCCGCCAAATAACCGAGAGAAGAAGAAGAAGAAGGCGAAGAAGGCGAAGAAGATGAAGAAGAAGAAGCCGACTCGGAGCTGTCCGACTTCAGGCGAGTTTTTTGAAACCTCCCCCGGCTGCGATCGGCTACTCTCGTCTACTTTCGAGGCGAGCCGCAACGCGTCTCAAACAAGCCTAATATATCTCTTTTTCTTCTCTCAATTATTTTATTTCTACTGTACACTCTAATCGTATTAATCAAACTATTGTTCGTTTATACATTTTAAGAATGGCGTTTATGTTTACTTTTTTGAGAATGAGTTCTTATTTTATTTATTGGGGTCTACCAGAGCCATATAGCTCTGGGGTCTACAACAGATGATACAAATGTTTGTGTCAGTAAATGTGTGGCGGGGGTGTTTGTGAAAACAACGCAGACAGTGCTGCTGTCAGACGAACAGCTGTGCGGCGTCATCACAAACGGACGTCGCTTCACGTGACGCTCCGGAGGAAAGGACGTCCCATTGCTCTTAAAACTCATTTCCCTGCTTCTCGTGGTTTCCTTGCGTCCCTCCATGCTTCCCTGGTGGGAGGGACTAAACGCAGGGAAACGACGCAAGTGAGGGAAGCAAGGATTTCATTTAATCGACCTGAGAAGCAGCCCCAGTCTGAGAATAAAATATGTCTCGAAGGTTCGTTTTGCTTTCTTACAATGTTAAGTTAATGTTAACGTAACCTTACGTTTGCTAGTAGGCTATTGTTACGAGCTAGCTGTCTTAGCTAACAACAGTTAGCAGCTAACGTTTTCTGCAGTTTGTGTTGCCCCTGAAAAACGTGATGTAGTAATTTAAGGGTATGTTAAATTAACGTTATTTTACAAGTTGAGAGAGTTAAGTTGTGTTTAAAATCGTCAATGTAATGCACGTTAGAAGTTTTTAGTTGGACATGAAGTTAGCTAACGTTAGCTAACTCTGCCAGGTTAGCATGTTAAGCTGTACTTTCTGTGGCAGCTAGCTTAATACAAAGAGGGATTTGTGCTTCATTGCAATGCAAACTTTTCTTTGTTAATCTACCTGAAACTGTAGGGACAGTTTGTTTATACTCAACTATACAGACCATTGTTGAGGAGATGCAAAACATACTGTACATGAGTTGGGTCCAACATATACATTGAGTAATGTTACTTTGCTGCTAAAAATGAAACATCATTATCAGATGAGGACATTACCAAAGTGTGTGAGTCTGTCAGGGGATTTGATCTGTTCCCTGCATGTCCTAAACATTGCTCTGGTATTACTTATCTTGTAACATGTAAGTCTCCCGCTCTTGTCATCGTTCAGGCTTTGCATTTGAACTCCTATGACTGGTTGCGGACTTGAAGTGAACGCCTTCCTGACATCCAGGAAAAAGGTGAGATTCTAATACATTTGAATGCCAAAAGAAAGTTATTGTTTTAAATATGATTGTTTTGGGGCATTTCAGTTTTATTGGACAGAGGCAGTAGATATCTACTGGAAACAGTGGAGAGGGAGGAGATGATATGCAGCATACGGCCCAGCCGGATGGTTGCTGCTCCGTGTGGAACGTGTTCTATCAGGTAAAGCACTTTGGTACCCAGTTATTTATGGTGTTGAGTTTGAATTTAGCCTTTGGAAGGTAATTTCCAACAGCGCATTGTAAAGACTGAAAAATGTAAAGCTTGACATGATTTCGTCTTTTACTTAAGAAGGTGTTTGTCCTCCTGTCTTCTCTTATTTCCTTATCTTTCTTTCAGGTGTAACATCTACCAATGGTTGTACATGACAGAGACCTCCTCCACCTCTTTGCTGTCTTACTAGTCAATCCTTCTGATCAGGTCCTTTCCTAAATAGTGGTAAGTTTTACAGTTCAGTGTATGTTCAATTAGCAACTTAATGCTTTACCGCTGTTGAATAATAAATCCTATATTGCTAGTCATTTTATTAAAACTACGATTTGTAAACTTTTTGATTCCAATTACAATAATCTTTTTGTTATAATTGTAAAACATATCTTAACATCCATCAGCAATCAATACAACAAATCATCCAACACTAAATAGAATAAATCTGGACATATTTCTTTTTATACAGCAGCATGTTTTGGGACTGCTCATTGATGTCATCAAGAGCCATTGAGTCTACCTTTTGTAGTCGGCCTCTCAGAATGTTTATCATTTATTTGTATCTTAACATTCCTATAATAATTAGTTTTTTTATTGTTGATATTGTTTTGTTCTTTATTTTTGTTGTGAGAATCACTTTGCAATTATTGTGTAAGTGCTATAATAGTTATACTAATATTATTGTTGTTACCATCATTACTATTATTAATAATGTCTTCTTTGTTTTCTTTATTCATCGCTGCAGAAAGGATCATGCCAGCCCACATCAAACACCTGATCAAGAGCTTGTGAACCTCACTGCTGCAGACACCTGTGTGATATTCCACTCTGACTGAAACCCTCAAAATGACATGCAGGTACGATATATATATATCTGCTCTGTCCGTCCTAAAGATAGTTCAATAGGGCTACAACAACAACAGTCTTTCCGTTTATTCCCTCGGTTCTTTAAGTGTATATTATTTCCCCATTTAATGCTTAAAAACGTTGAACAGCAGCTGCACATGATGCTCTTTTGACCCCTCTTTTAATTTTTTATTTCAGGCTCAAGCTCGGTGTCATCGTTTTGGCCAGTCTAAGGCGGTGGAGGTGTACCGTCTGATCACTAGAAACTATGAGAGGGAAATGCTGGATAAAGCTAGTCTGAAGCTCGGGCTGGACCGTCCCGTCCTGCAGAGCATGAGTGGCAACAACAACGGGGTGAGAAAAATAAAATCTGTCATATTTCTAGATGCCAAGTCATTTTTGGGTCAGTCGCTGTTGCAGTACGCTTAGTTTATTTTCAAAAAGAGTTTTCTAAATCCACTTGTGTAAATGTCTCTCTGCGTCGCCTTTAGCCGGTCCAGCAGTTCTCCAAGAAGGAGATCGAGGACCTGCTGAGGAAAGGAGCCTACGCCGCCATCATGGACGAGAACGACGAAGGCAATCGCTTCTGCTAGGAGGACATCGACCAGATCCTGCAGCGAAGAGCCACCACCATCACCAGGTATGTTCTTAGCAGCACTAGCCACTTGCTCTTTGTGAGACACCAAGTACTTGGTTATTTGAAATGTAATATTGATGATGTAATAATTAAAACTAGGGATGGGTACCGAGCCCTGGTATTAAACGGGCCCCGGGGCTGAATTATTAAAGACCGTGGTACCGTTAACGTCCAACGTTATCGATCTTTTTATCGGTACTGGAGACATTTAAAAAATAGATGTCATATGTATTATATCTACATAAACATTATATCGCAGTCTTACTGCAACTCCGTTTCTAATATGCAATAAGACTACAAAGTGCGTCTATGATTTATTTTTGATCTTTCCAATCCAGACGAGATCTCTCTCCCCTGTCGGTGTGCGAGGGGGCGGGGCAGTTTACACACAGAACCTGCTACATGCATGCACACACACACACACACACACACACACACACACACGGCGGAGAGAACTAAGCGCCCCGAGGGTAGTTATGTTACCCGTCTTGAGCATGGATGTATAATAAGAACTGGATACAGCGTGGGAGGCGGGATCTCGTTCTTTCCTATGAGAGCTGCTCATTGGCGCATGAAGTAAAAATGGCCCAACTTTTGAGAGAGCGAAACGTCACAGATTACCCGTCATGCCTGGCTGTCAGAGCAGAATAACCCGTTTGTGCGCTCACAGAGCATGCGCCCCTTAAGCCCCGCCCCCGAGCACACACTCTCGGCTCACTAGAAAGAATGGAGAGAGAGAATAAATCTAGATTCGGCTTTTAGTGCATTTTACAACTTTAAGGACTTAATGATTCTAGAGCTATACAATAGTTCATACTGGGTAGTTTATTTAGTTTAAAAAAAAGTATCCACCGATTTACAGACGTCTCTTTCCCAATGTTAGTCAATGGGGAAAAGTATTTCTGGGCCGGTCGACGTCACAGACTGATAAGGAAATTGTAGTACCACCGTTTGGACACAACGAATATTTTTCCTCAGAGTCCGGCACACTTCCTGGGGGCTTGGTCTTGAGGTGGAAAATGCTTGTTGCCAAAAGTGCAATAAGAATTTAGCATGTAAGGGCGGTAACACGAGCTATGTGTCTAAACATTTAGCAAAAGTGCTCCACATCCAGACGGAGGAATGCACCGGGTTCGACTGTCTTTCTAGTAGCTCTGTAGCCCCATCTACGAGTAACGTTTCCACGTCAGGTGTTATGTATGCTAGCAGCAACACACAGAGTTAACTACATTATACAAACATGGGTTAATGATTAGAGGAAACTGAGTTATTTATTTTGTTAAAGTTTCAGCTATTCTGTTTGCAGTTTTATCATCACATAATTTAATACGATTTGTTAAAACATTGTTGTTTCTTATTTTCAGTTTGCTTCAAGCAGAGGCTGTACGAGGAAGACGTGGAGGGCCAAGAAATGCTGGCCAGATTGGCAAAGACCGGAAGATACATAACAGAGAAGATAATGGATATTAACAAGAAAAAGAAAAAAAATGTTTATAATTTCTTTGTTGCTGTTTACATTTTGAATTATATTTGTTATTTTTAAATCAAATGCATCTTTTTTAGATGATATATTTATTTAGATGTAGGTTTTATTTGTAATATTATTGTATTAAGTATAATTTATTAAATAAAAATACTGTTATGAACACTATACAATGTCTTTATTTTGATAGTTACCAGAATACATTGTATATTTAATACTAACATAAGCTGGTGATAGATAAATGCTGGTCTGCTGGTATGCCAGCAGACAAATATTTATAAAGACAGAAACAGAAGGGAGGAAATGATGATAGCTCGACTCAGAATGAATCACACAGCATTGAATGGTACGTCATGGGGAAAAGTAACAGTGACAAGTGTAGGAATTGTGGAGTTAAAGAAAAATGTGGAACATCTATAAAGCTGAAAGAGAAAAAGTAAAGGATAACGTTTTAGAGGCAGAGAGGGAATGGAGTGTGGTTGGTATTTTGGGAACAAAAGGAGAGTGAGAAAGAGCTACCAGAAAGGCACTGTTTACCTTTAGTGAAACTGGGGTAGGTACAATTATCTAACATTAGGTTATGAAAGATCATAGATTGTTGTTTTGTTTTATTTATTATGTTTTTTATTTATTTATTTTTGGATTAGATCATAGATACGTCCATGAGTTAAGAGATGGAATGATATGATGATTCACACTCATGTACAGTAGGTGGCGGTATGCACCTTAAAGTTGTTTGCAATCCGCCAAAAAACCGAAGAGAAGAAGAAGAAGTCAACTGGTTTGCCAACGGACAATTTACACCGAAGAAGAAGAAGCGAACATTTCTGGCGGGTGACATTTAGAGTATCAGATTACATGCGATGTCTGACCATGTGTCTGACTGAGAATTTAGTAGTTTGCCTTATAGTCCTTCTCCTCCATTTTCTTCCTCTTCTCGAGTAGTCAGTGTGGTGCTGTTGCTTTGGTCTGGGTCTCTGGACCTGTGAGCTAACCACGCCCCGTTCATTTGCATATAAGGAATGGAAATCAATCAATCAATAAATGCGTCATTATGAAATACAAGTCATCTGAAATAAATAAATATGTCATTATGAAATACGAGTCTCTTGAAATAAATAAATGTGTCATTATGAAATAAAAGTCCCATGAAATAAATAAATGTGTATTTAAATGTGCATGTATACATATTTATTGCCTAATTTATTTATTTTAGAATTTATTTCATAGCCATATTTATATATGTATTTATTTAATTATTTATCTATTTATTTAATTTTGGCTTAAATGGCGTTCCATACATGACAGCCAAAATCATAATAACAATATTATTTTGTGATCAATTAAATATCGATTAGAAAGAACATAACATCTCAAGTACAATCTACAAACAAAACGCACAAATGCAATTTGATATTGTAAAAAAAAAGACCTTTTCTGTGCTTGTGCACATAAAGTATCTGGAGTCCCTGTCAATTCACAACCTGAATTTGGGGGCTGTCTAGATAAGGAAACAGGACTCAAAATACCATTCAGATTGGCTCCCTTTCTTATCTCACATGCTAGCACATTAGAATGTATTGCCCCTCATCTGAGGATCTCCACCATGGATGTATAAGATAACTGGATAAAGCATTGGAGTCTTGTTCATTCCTAAGGAAGTGGATCAGAGGCGCATAATCAAAAAAGTTGGACCTCTGGTTATAAAATGTACCAGCCTTCAACATCCATGTCCTATATCAATTTTTTAATCCCACTGCCTCGCAGCTCAGTCTGGAGCTCATTCACATGAACAAGTGATGAAATGGTACCTCATTTACAGACTACACAAAGTATATATTTATTTTTTAACTCCTGTCATTATGCATACTGCATTTGGGTCCTGATCCTAGGTCCTTACTCTGACTTTTATGGATGATTGTCTCTCTGCAATGTCATTAGAATAACAGCGTGTGTGCCGCTGTTCCACACAGCACATATTCTATTGCATATGTAAAGGAGGTTATAACTATTTCCCAGATTAAATGAACTCACTGATTTTTGTAAGTGAATATATCTGTGCACATTATTTGTTTAGCATGTATAAAACAATCACGTAGATAAAAGAAAAAGTGTGCAAAAGGGTAGAAAGAGTAGGAAAAAGTTAAAACATTTATGAAATGTGTAGAGTAGCAGCTGCTGCATGTTCAAAAGGGTTCAACCTTCCCAGCCACCCTCCATGAAAAAAGGGAGAAGAGACACATCTCTGTATTCACAATCTCTCAGCTCCTGAATCATGTCCTTTTCTTCCCTCACCAGCTCCGGATGCTGCTGCTGTTGTGGATAGGTGTGATTTGAATGGCAAATTACCCCCATGCAAACACAACAATTATTGTGGCAAAGAAGCAGCAGCAGCGTGGGGTCACTGAGGGCTTCTCAGGTCAGGACGAGAGGTTGAGTCCTTCCTCGTGTATAAAGAAAACTCACATTTACTACAAGTTTAATAATGTATTACCCAAAATCTTGATATTTGTTTTTTAACTGGTTAATCTAAAGGCCAATATGAAAAGATCCCAGAGTTTTTTGTTTACCAGATACACACTTTTTTGAAGGGATCAATTCTAATAAATACACAAGCCAGAAAACCAGAACAATGTAGGTCTAATGGCTACTAAAAAACCTCCAAAGCATACTTGTAAGTGCTTATAGGGGAGCCTAGAGCTTAGATGGTTTGTCTTGAATACATATTTTATTATGTTAAGAAATACCACTCAAATCTCTCAGTATTAAATTAATCAACAGCTAGAAGCCAGTTAGCTTAGCATAAAGACTGCAACAGGGAAAAACCACTAACCTGGTGTAGAAAATACCTACAGTAACATTAAAGCTCACAAATTAACATGTTATATGTTAAATGTTTATAAAAATACCTAGTTTTGTTATCCTGTTTGCACTCTTCATTCTTCAGTAAAAGTACAGCTAAGCTAACAAGCTGCTAGCAAATGCTACATGTTTAGCATACAGGAATGAGCAAGGTATTAATTATCTCATCTAATTCTCAGCAAAAAAAACGAATATAATATTTATATACAGTATATTTCACAAAATATCAAACTACTTTCTTAGGAAGGCACTGCATGGAATTATAATCATTCTGTTTCTCTGTCTACTGTCACTGCAAACATCAAGTAACAAAACAAGGCACTTTAAATATATGGTGAAGTGGAAGCTATATACTATTTTGTTTTTATTGTTCATCAAGAACCTGTTACATTATGAGACATATGTTTCTACCTTATCTGCCAAGTGAACTGTTGCATTGCATCTTAACATCATTGATCTTTTCTATAGCCACGTCCAATGTTCTAAATAACGTTCTCAATGTCAGCTACTCGCCCCACAGTTTGACTTCCACTCATATTGTAACATATGCCTGAAGACAAAACAGCATAACAGCCCAAAATTCAAGATGTCACAGTATCCCATTAACTAAAAAAAAACATAATATAATGTTATAAATAAAGACAGAATGAAATACAAATTAAGCCCACACTTCAAGAGAATAATAAACATGCACCCAAAACTACGTACAGTAACAGTTAAGACTTGAAGAAAAGTCTGTCATAACGTAAAAAATATAACATATTTTCACTTGGCTTTGTAATGTCAAGGCACTGTATAGCTTAAATAAGATTGTTCATGGCTGTAAGTGTTCCACAGGATTTGAGTTCACTAAAATAATGTTACAAAATCTACAATCAAACATAATACATCTTATTGTACAATGTGAACAATCCCAACATACAGTGTAAAAAAAATGTTAAATATGAAACAATTATCTCCATAACACACTGAAACTGCTGTGGGATTTATAATTTAGCTCCACATCTAAATTCTAACTGTGGCTGGTTAAACACAGGTTAAAATGAGCTAAAAGACAATGTAAAACACACTCAACTGTACAACCTCTAATGGTGAAACCGAATCAAGTGCACTTTTTTTTTTTTTTTAAAGGATAGTGGCAATGTGCTGTTGTGGTCAAAACAGACAAACAATCCAATACAATTCAATTCAGAATTGCTGAGGAAGAATTACAATCAAAGTCTGACTGAATGGTGGTACGTCTACAGTATGTTACGTTGGAATCTGTTTCACAGTCATGAGAGCTGAAGTGTTCAAACACATTTGACATAACATTTGGGGGGTTGAACTTGTCTTTTTGTGTGTGAACAAAACCACCAGGGGGCGCCATGGTCAGAAATGTAGAAATTCCACACAGTTTCTTCATACTTTCTTATTATCATCAACAAATCCCCACAAAAGACCAACAACAACAATTAATTGATTTTGTGAAAATCAGCCCTATAAGTCAAAAGAAGTTATCTTTTGATCCCGTTTGAATTGTGCAACAAATTACACATATGATGTTTGTCAATTTAAAAGATAATTTTGCAAGTCAAAAAAAAAAAAAGTGCCGTAAAACTGTGAAGTAACACGTTTTTTTGTGTGAAGCGCTCAATGAACTACAACTCTGGTCTTGCATACGTCACTAACACCAAGACGGCCGTCACGTTAGCACACTTCACCTCTTTCTTTCAGAATGAAGCGAAAAGTATTAAAAGAGGTGAAAATTACTACAAGTCTGGCCATGTTGAGAGCTGTAGCCTATATACACAAAAGGGGAGTTAGTCGGTTCCAGCATGCGGGACCGGCTTTACAAGGTTTCGGTGAGTAACACGAGTGTAATGTGTAACGTTAATGTCAGCTAGCTATATTCACTAGTTGCATATTTTTCATAGTCGGCAGACAGCCTATCCGTTTTTAAGAGTACGCTTAAGACCTTCCTTTTTGATAAAGCTTATAGTGATAAAATAAAATAATCTAATAAGATTGCATTGACGTAGATACATTGTGCCTCTTCACCTATACATTTTAGTTCTTACTCTTTCACTTAAATCCTAAAAACTTAGATCTTATATTTAAAACTTTATCCAAACCTTTCCCCTCTATGACCTCTCGAGGTTCGAATAGAGGGTAACAGGTTGCAGAGAAGGCCTAGCCCGGCCCGGGAGTGTGGAACGTAGCCACAGACCTACTCCTTACCTCTAACCAATTCAGGTTCCAGTGGGGACCTTTCTCCCTGTGTGCCTCTCCACCTCTGTTTCCTACTTCTTACTTGCTACCCTTTCCCCTCAACCTATCCTAAGGGAGTGCATGTATGTAGACACGTTAGTTTAGCTGCTATAGGCTTGGACTGTTGGGGCACCTTACTCCGTCTTTCTGTCTGTTTGTTCCTGTGTACTCTCATGTTCAGATTAACCCAGTTTCCCCCAAATCTCTTTTTTGTGTCCATATCTACGCCGGGATCCTGAGTCGAGGCTAATCCTGTTGCTGTGGTCGTGTGTCCTGGATCCTCTATCCTGAGCACTGGATCTGAGTCCTGGACTTCGAGTCGTGGCTGAACCTATCTCTGCGGTCCTGCCAGACTCTCACCATACTACTTCCCTGATGGCTCCCACAAGATTGCTGACATCCTCGTGGATTCATCTTCTTATTATAGACACATGCATTTCCAAACATTTGGACTACCTATGTTTGTAAATGTATTATCTCTTCGATTTACACACGGCATCTATTGCACGTCTGTCCGTCCTGGGAGAGAGATCCCTCCTCTGTTGCTCTCCCTGAGGTTTCTCCCATTTTTCCCTTTAAACGGTGGGTTTTCTCAGGAAGTTTTTCCTTGTACGATGTGAGGGTCTAAGGGTGTCGTATTGTCATACTGATATTCTGTACACACTGTGAAGACCACTGAGACAAATGTAACATTTGTGATATTGGGCTATATAAATAAACATTGATTGATTGTCTTATATTTCAACAGTTTTACGACAAACTGTGACTTTTTTGATATGGAAATAATTTTTTAAGACTGACAAACATCATATGTGTAATTCGTGGCACAATTCAAACGCGATCGAAAGATAATCTTTCTCTCCCCATTGACTTCAATACATCATTTTTCAGAAATAAGGTCCCATGGGGCGGAAGTAGATGGGCATGACTTCGCCACTCTATTCTCTTTGCCTTAGTACTCCCTCTTTGTGACTGTATGTGAAACGTTGTTCCCCACAATTTTGGCGGCCACAGTTTCGGCCCTTGTTTTTAGTTGATATTCCGCTACTAAAAGGTCTCCATCAAATGGAATATTTACTCCTGTTTGAGTATTTTTTGCTAAAAACTAGAACCAGGCTGTTTTTAAAAAGTTAAAAAAATTAAAAAATATCATCATTTTTGTACATATTTATGTCTTCGTCAGGATTAAATTGGCTTCGGGCTGAGAAAAACGTACATGCTGGGCAGATATTGAAAGACAAACTAATATTGTTGATTTTGGACATTTTATGTTTGTTTGTTTTTTTGTTAAAAATATAAAAAATATGAAATATCATTAGCCTTAGCTTTCAATTTGGATTAGGTAATCTACTTATTTCTTGTAAAAAGAGATTTTTTTCACAGCAGACATTTCTTTGTCATAGTAGAAAAAATACAGAAAAAAGTGTTGTGAAAAAGGCCTATCCCTTGAGGGGACAGGATATTAATAAAATAGGTTGTGTCCATGAATGGATTAGGCCAAACATTGTTATGGGATGATGTGGTTTCCAACATATGGACACATTTCCATGGAGGAATCCTTGAGGAAGTCCAAAGTGTTCCCGAGTGAGAGGAAGAATGAAAGGAAGTGTTTGTCGTGTGTCCAAAAGTTCACTTGGTTAACTTTTTTAAACCCTCAGACTTCAGGTTCAGAGTTCGCCATGGATAAAATGATGTTCACCAAACTTTCAAGTCCAGACAGGTATCCATCTTCTCGGTTGCCCTCTACCCACGATGCTCGGTGGGTCAGTTCCTGCCCTTCAGGAAGAGGCGTGGTTTTCCCAAAGTCGATCATCCAGACTTTGGCCCGCCCCTTACTGTCGTGAACAAATAACAAGGAGCTGCCAATCACCTGCAGACACACAGCAAGACAATGGTATGAATAAGAAAACAGGAAATGATTACTAAAACAGTATCCTTTGTTTTATTCAAAACCTAACTACGTGTGTTTTTGTGAGTCAAAAACATGATCTCACTTCCTGTTTTGTTTCGGTCACTTCTTACAATTACGTCTACTGGTATGTTTGTGTGTGTGTGTGTGTGTGGTCAGCGATGTGGCTGCGTCCAATTTTCCATGACGAGACCTGGTATGTCAGTATGTGCACCGGTGTGCTTGCTCAAGTGAATTAGAGTCACTTAATTACTAAATCAGTAAATGTATGTGTATGTGTACAGTGACACAAAATAAATATTGACCAGGGCTAAAAGGAATCAAACAAAGAATTCTATAAATCAAATGTAATTATAGTTAACATGTCACTAGACAAAAATATGGAAATTCTCAATTCCTGAAGTATTTGCCTGAACGCAAAAACACATGAACCCTATGAGGTCAAAAAAAGACTTGCGTAATTTTCAAACATTTGCTAAAATCCTCAAATATTGGTTGAGATTTGGCAGTATTCAATGGGACGCATTAATGTTATACAGCATTAAGAGGCTAAAAATCTGTCCAGAGACGAGAAAATCGAAAAAAAAAACGTATCTCCCCTTAAACCCTCAGACATAAACTACATCAAATACATGATATTGCATACATACACATTTGTCATGTAATAATGTTTTGTCAATTTATAAAGGACAGTTGCAAGTTACTTATGTCCGTCTTGGAGTGGTCTGTCTTTACCTCGTGCGTTTTGAAGAATGGGGAGATCTCCAGAGTGTTTTTGACTTCTTCCAGGCTACTTAGATAAAGGTTCTGTAAATAAATAAAAAACACAAAAGCTTTTATTACCTGTTCACCTGTACCACATTCTGTTCACTGTGTTAGAACAGGCCATGTGATCTACTCTCAGCCCAGCCTGCTGCACAGTACAGCTTTTCACAATAAAAACATGACTGTTGCCGTGATGGATTAAATAAGACCTGTCTTTATGTATTCAAATATAAAATAATGAACACAGTCACAAGTTAACAAGTGTTTCCAATGCTGTCAAATACAACAGTGTGTGTGTGTGGGCCAGGAGGGAGTTCCCAAGGGTTTCCTTTCCTTTTTTCTCAGGCTCAGGAAGCTTAAGGTAACATGGTGTTTGCATACACATGAAGTACAAACACACTCACCAGTACGTCTTTATTTCCTTTGACAAAGTCATGGAAGGCAGCAGTAACTTGCTCTCTCGTTTTCGTCTTCTTAAAATCTCTGTTCACCGTCCCGTCCTCCTTCTGGAGAGGAGAGGAGAGGAGAGACCATGAGAACTGACTTTATACTTGTAGTTAAAGATAAAATATAAAAATCCTGAACTACAACTTTCAGGCTTCTTGTAGAGAGACACTAAGTATGTAAGGCAGACAAGGGAGTAGCAAAGGATGTGAAGGAGGAAGGACAAGGAGCTGAGTAAAGGAACAAACAATGAGGGGAGGAAAGGAAGGAGTGAGCAAAATATATTTATAGAGATTTGTCCGGGAATTAAAGCGGGGAAAGGTCTTTGACTCTGTTTTTCTGACAAGGAACATATATACAGTATATATATATATATATATATATATATATATATATATATATATATATATATATATATATACACTTTGTGAAATCTCAGGAAGTTTCTTCCTGTTGTAAAAAATTAACAAATTCTTGTAAATTGTTTTATTTATACATTTTCAGAAAATAGTTGAAAATGGCCATCCCATCTGTTAAATAAATAAATATAAAATCTCACATTCAGCATAAAATCAAGCAAACTAGCATAACAAAACATAGTTTATTAACTATTCAATTTTGGTCATAGAAAGCAAATATAGCAATTATAGTAGCACGATTAAAAGGAGTAGTGGAACAAAAGTAATAGCAGAACTGGAGTTATTGTATTAATAGTAATTAGTAGAGCATCAACACTAGTAACAAATATAAAGTAGATAAGCATCCGTTTAGGTTTCCATTAAGACAGAACAGACACCAAAATAAATCAGAGGGTAAAATAATAAAAGCATAGTTGCAAATAAATGCAGCAACATCGTTCTGTAAAGTGATTTAAAAGTATTTTCAAACATGTAAATAAAGCATAGCTCATTCCCAGCTGCAACAGGCAGGTTTACAAGGTGATTGTGACCATGGGGAGGATTTTCTCTGATGATCAAGTACCAGTTGCTGGGTTAGAAAGGAATACATGAGTTTCTTATTCTGCTCGCTGCCAGGCAACAAGATACTATTTGTAAGAGAAAAGTCGTTTTCCCTTTATGGTTCAGAGACTTATTATCTCTTCCTTTACAACAAAGCTAATAACCCCATGCTTTCACATACATAGGAGCGTATACAGTGTATACTATACACACTGTTACAGAGAAGCACCTTTACAAAAAAGAGGTTGAATTGGACATGAACCACATGAACTTCACATACACACACAAACAGACACACACATTTCGGTTTCTGGGGATAACCCTCAGTGTCATGGCAACAGACCACCGGGAGGCTGTGAATGTCCTTATATAGCCACAACCCTCAAATAAAGACAGCAGAGACAGATTTGTGTGTGTGTGTGTGTGTGTGTGTGTGTGTGTGTGTGTGTGTGTGTGTGTGTGTGTGTGTGTGTGTGTGTAAATGTCAGTGGCAGATGCCAAGGCATGTAGAGCTGCCACGGACAGGCCTCTTGTGCCACAAAGGCATCTCCTGCAGAAACGTACACTTCAGTGGGGGTTCGTGTTCAAAACAGGAAGTGAGATCATGACCTTGAAGGACACACGCCCCAACACAAACAAACAGAATTATAGAAGAAAGGAGGGAAGGAAGAACACACACACACACACACACACACACACACACACACACACACACATACACACACACACACACACACACACACACACACACACACACACACACACACACACACACACACACACACACACACACACACACACACCACCCTTCTCTCTGTGAGTCTTACCTTGACGCCCTCTATCCTGAATCCCAGGGTGGCGGTTGAGCTTATGGTCTCTCTCCACTGCATGTATCTGGGTTTGGACACCACTTTCTGGAGGTTTTCCTCGGGCGTAGGCGCATCAGGCTCAACCTCCACCATTTTCTGATACATGTCCGGTCTCGGGGAGGGTTTCTTACGAGCCTTGGTCAGCTCTTCCTCGAGGTAGGTCCTAAAGCATGAAAAACAACAACAGTGGTGGTTGATGAATATGAAGAAAAAGTGTGAGAGGCATGGAATCAGAGAGGTAGAAGGGCGAGGTAAAGACGAGGGGAGAGGGTCAACTCAAGGTGTGAAGAGGACATCTCTCTACTAACAGCATGGTGCAGCTGTTAAATGCTCAAATCTGGGAACGCAAAGACATCGATAGCTGCAAAAGAAACGTGAGCCAATAACCCAGGTTATACAAAGATCACTTATTTGGAAGAGAAAACAAAAAGCCAATGGAGAAAAATGTACACAAACTGACTTAACTTTGATGTAAATCACTTGCCGTAGCTTTTGAATACAATTTGGATTGTCTTCTTACAGAGATTCTTGTGCTCAGACTTGGCCTTAAATTCCAAATGAGAAGGTCATTCTTCAATTTGTTGTCCTGTTGCAGTTTGTTGGAACATTGTCACTTCATATTATCAGTGTTAGAAGAAGTACTCAGATCCTTTACTTAACTAAAAGTACAAATAATATGGTCTTAAAATATGGCACCACTACAAAAAGTACAAAAGTATTAGTATCAAAATGTACTTAAAGTTACTTATTAAGTTATTATGTTTATTATTTTATGACCAATACATTGACAAAGACCCACATTTAAATCACACCTTTAACATCATTTGTAGATTAAATAAACACAGAAATGCTTGAAGTTTGTTGTAAATGTTTGAATTAATCACATGTAAGAACATAAAAGCTCA